ACAGTTCAAGTATTATAGATGCCACAGGAAAATAACAGGATAAGAGCCAGGCTTTATTGCCAGAAAGGTCAGCATTCGTCGGTAACATTTTAAGTCAGTAGAACTTAACACGTGAGCAACAGCCATATGATTTACACCCAATAGCTTTCACATTAAATACTGTCCTGTAACTGGGAATGTCTCTCTATTTTGTGGGCCTGGAAGAAGAAAGCAATTATGTTAGAAATCACATTAGCGGCAGCAAAGAAGAACACAGGATTTTTCAAAACAACTTTGCAAATACGTTTTGTCCTGCTTGACAGCGTACATCTTTCTTCATCTGAGATACTTTACTTCAAGATTCAGTGGCAAATGAAAATTCAGTGAAATGATGCATTCAAGCAATGCATGAAAATGTGTTCTTGTTTTCCAAAGCAAACTGGAGGAGTAGCAATTTCAATGTACTTGCATCCCTCCAAAAACTCATTTTCTTGGGCAGTAGATAAAACTCTACAAGGTACGACAAGGCTGTATACTCTCTCCCTGCTTATTTAACTTATATGCAGAATACATCATGTGAAAGGCTGGACTGGAGGAATCCAAAGCTGGAATTAAGATTGCCGGAAGAAATATCAACAACCTCAGATATGCAGATGACACCACTCTGATGGCAGAAAGTGAGGAGGAATTAAAGAACCTCTTAATGAGGGCGAAAGAGGAGAGTGCAAAAAATGGTCTGAAGCTCAACATAAAAAAAAACCCTAAGATCATGGCCACTGATCCCATCACCTCCTGGGAAATAGAAGGGGAAGATATGGAGGCAGTGACAGATTTTACATTCTTGGGCTCCATGATCACTACAGATGGTGACAGCAGCCAAGAAATTAAAAGATGCCTACTTCTTGGGAAGAAAGCAATGACAAACCTAGACGGGATCTTAAAAAGCAGAGACACCACCTTGCCGACAAAGATCCGCATTGTCAAAGCTATGGATTTTCCAGTAGCGATGTATGGAAGCGAGAGCTGGACCATAAAGAAGGCTGACTGCCAAAGAATTGATGCTTTCAGTGGGGATTTTTTTTTTAGCCCTAACTGAAGATGCTGGGTATGGAACCTAGGACCTTCTACAGGTAAGGCACGGGCTTTCCCATGGAGTGATAGGCCCTCTCCACAAGGTCTGCTGTAAGAATCTATAAGGCTTCTACTTACACAGCCCCTCCACATAGTTGGGTGTAGGCTCCAAGGAACAACAAAGGGAAGAAGAGAAAGTGATCAAAGATAATGACTGCTGACAAAGCACCTCAGTGCCTGAGCTTCCACAGTCACATTTATCAATATATTGATGTACTTCAGCTTCAAAATATCTTCATATAGAGGTTCATTATTCTTTAGAACAAATCCTGTAAGGTAGGTCTACAGTGGATCCTCGACTTACAGATGGCTCCACTTACAGACTTTTTGAGTTACAGACTTCTCTGGCCTCAGAATTTAGGTTCGACTTGCAGCCAGAGAATCGACCTAGAGACCGGGGGGGGGTGGGGAACCAAAATGGAACAAAAATGGCCGGTTATGTATTAATCAGTTTTCAATGCATTGTAGGTCAATGGAGCCTCGACCTATAGACTTTTCAGCCTGCAAACACCATTTCCAATACAGATTAATTCCGTAAGTCGAAGGTCCACTGTATATGGTTATCCTCATAAGACGGATTAATTCCGTAAGTTGAGGGTCCACTGTATATGGTTATCCTCATAACGAATGATAGATGGAGGCTTTCTTAGATGCAATGACTCAGATTGATTTGAATTGTGCTGCTGGAGGAGACTCTTGAGAGTCCCCTGGACTGCAAGGAGATCAAACCTGTCCATTCTGAAGGAAATCAACCCTGAGTGCTCACTGGAAGGACAGATCCTGTCCGTAAGTTGAGGGTCCACTGTATATGGTTATCCTCATAACGAATGATAGATGGAGGCTTTCTTAGATGCAATGACTCAGATTGATTTGAATTGTGCTGCTGGAGGAGACTCTTGAGAGTCCCCTGGACTGCAAGGAGATCAAACCTGTCCATTCTGAAGGAAATCAACCCTGAGTGCTCACTGGAAGGACAGATCCTGAAGCTGAGGCTCCAATACTTTGGCCATCTCATGGGAAGACAAGACTCCCTGGAAAAGACCCTGATGTTGGGAAAGTGTGAAGGCAAGAGGAGAAGGGGACGACAGAGGACGAGATGGTTGGACAGTGTCATCAAAGCAACCAACATGAATTTGACACAACTCCGGGAGGCAGTGGAAGATAGGAGGGCCTGTCGTGCTCTGGTCCATGGGGTCACGAAGAGTCGGACACGACTTAATGACTAAACAACAAAAATTTGATGGGCCATCTATTGAGTACATGGCTGAGGTGAGGTTTGAACTGAGAGGCTCACAGGCAGAGCATAGAGGTTACTTCGTAAAAAACAAGATTTAATATTACAATTCAAAGGTAAGCATATGCCACTATAAGTTACAATTTATAGGAAAGATCAAGTGTAAGGATGTGTCCCCAAAACCAAGGTCATCCCCATTCTTGAATTTCCTGTCACTATGTAGTGTCATCGAAGCCACCAACATGAATTTGACCCAACTCCGCAGTGGAAGACAGGAGGGCCTGGCGTGTTCTGGTCTGTGGGGTCACGAAGAATCGGACCCAACTCAACGACTAAACAACAACAATGTATGGGTATGAAAGCTGAACAGTAGATTATTTGACATGTGGTGCTGGAGGAGAACTTTGCAGCTACACCGGGCTGCCAGAAAGGCAAACTGGGTCCAAGATCAAATCAAGCCTGAACTATCTCTGGAGGCCAAAATGATACTTTGGGCACATCATGAGGTGACAAGATTCTCTGGGGATAAAACAATAATGCTAGGAAAAGTGGAAGATAGCAGGAAAAGAGGAAGGTCAAATACAAGATGTATTGGCTCCTTAAAGGAGTTTGCAGGAGCTGAGCCGGGCTGTTGAGGACAGGACATTTTGGAGATTGCTCATTCATGAAGATGCCGTACGTCTGAGATTTCTTGATGGCACATAAAAACAAATATACAGTAGTTGCCACTGCCTGTAACAATAAATGCAATTGAACCATTTACATTTTCAATGCTGAGGGCATGAATTTCTCCCTCATTAAGTTTCAATTATGTAAGATGTTTATTTGTCTTTTAAAGTGCTGCCAAATTGGAACTCACAGTAACCTCAGTAGGACTTTGGAGATATTTAAGGAGTGCTTTTACCAATTCCACCCCACTCCTCCCTGTGAGAATCCAGCAGGGATTCAAACCCAGGTCTCTTGGGTCCTAAATCATCACTCTATTGAGTTTACCCACTAAACCACATTGGATACCCATAAGTTGGTTTTGTTTTTCTTTTCAAAGAGAGTGTATGAGTCACTTCCAGCAAGTATAACAAAAGCAAAATAAAAATAAAGGCAAAAGTACTGTGGCACCTTAAAGAACAGCAGGTTCATTTTAGGCATCTTTTTTTGTGGATAACCCTCCACTTCCCCAGGCATACAGAGTGAAATGTTTAGCCACAAGTTTATATACCAGTATACATTGGGGGGATGGAGAGAAGGCACAGATAATGAAAATTCAGAGTAATGAATACAAGTTAGGAATACTGAGATCACTGATTACCTAACCAGACAGGTGGCAGCTAGAGTGATTAGTCATCTACCAAGGCTGCTACATTTGCCTTTGAAGTTCAAAGACGAATCAACTTGAGGTCACAGTAACATTTGTCTATAAATGTTTGTACATATAGTTTAATTAATTAATAAGTGTTAGTTATGTATGTACGTAGTTCAAAAATGGCTACTCTGACGGGCAGCAGAGTAGACACTCCAGAGAGAGAGAGAGAGAGGTCCTCCTTATGATTTGCTGCCTGAATCTTTGAAGTGGAAATCCTGAATCTTTAACCTGCTATTGCTGCCAATGGGTGCTAGTTCCCACTGTGTTGGTGTGGTGGAAGGCACAGCATCTACTGGTGCCCAGTGCCAGGGAAGACTGCGCGATGCTTCCGACTGCTGCTTCCCTCTCTGCCTGCCTGGTTTGATAGCTAGGCCTCCCCTTTGCTTTCGCCCTCTTACTTCCTCCCGACCTGCAAACACAGCATGCTAAGTAAGGCTGGGATTGCAGCAAGAGGGGAACACCAGCCTGCCTCTGATAAGGAAGCGCCCAGAGGGTCGGCTGGGGTTCAACTGAAGCCAGAAACAGACATTAAACATAGGCAAGCTGTTAATTACAGCTAAGCACGTGGTGATATTGTGGAAAGGTGATCGAAGCAGCTTTTGGGGGTTTATGGACTCAGACGGCAAAGGAATCCCCCTTTAAATCCTGAAGCCCTACCTGAAGATGCTGAGTATGGAACCTGGGGCCTTCTAAATGTAAAGCATGGGCTTTGCCCCAGAGTGATGGGCCCTAGAAAGATCCCCCTTTACATCCTGAAGCCAAACAAAGAAAGCTAATCACAGAAGTGAGAGAAGAACCTGCTATGACACTCAGATGCTTTTATTGGCTAAGGATAGTCTACCTTTAACATCTCTTTTTGACTTGAGCAGTGCCGCGTTTTCCCAGAGGATCAACCTCCACTGCTTGAGACTTTCTGCAGCAGGGAAAGCGGCTGTCCCGTGTCTGGCCTGAAAAGGCAAGGGGGGCACCGCTTTGGCAGGCTCGATCTTTCAGAGCAGCTCCGCTTTCCTTTTGATTTCTGAGCCCTTCCTTTCTCTCTTTCCTCCCTTCACGCGGGAGGTTCACAAGACCTTCCCGGTCGGGATTGTCTCCGCAAGAGATGCTTCGTCGCTCCGCGTAACACCCGCGCTGCCTCCCCTGTGTCATATGCGAATGTATGGGGTGGGGGGGAGAGAGGAGAGGAGAGGAGAGACGGAGCCGGAGAACTTGAACAATGTGTGTGGGGGGGTGGTCGTCGGGGCGGATCTCCGACGGAATTCTCCGACCCGCCCCTCANNNCTAAAGGCCGCGGTCGAGTGGCAGACCGGGGGGGGGGGGCGCGGACCCTGTCCTGAGGTTGTTCCTTCGGGCAGGGGGATTCTTGCCGTGAGCTCGGCGCGGTCGCCCACAGACGGCTGAGGAAGGACGGAGGGAGATCCCGAAGGAGCGGAGCCGGGAGAGGCCCCCCCCCGGTTCAAAAGGCGCCGCCGAGCAAGGGACGCGGGGGCAAGCGCCCTCCGTGGGGCTCGGGGCGTCCAGGCAGGGGCACTCCTTCGCCCTCCCCTCCGGCCAGCATGGGGCTGGGCGCGTGGAGCACCTGCCTGGCTCTCTCCTGGCTGCCCTTCGTGGCCGGGGGCTTCCCTCAGCGCGCCAGGTCAGTTTCCGAAACGGAAGGGGGGGGGAAGGGAGAGCGAATGCAAAAGATTCTGAACTTTCTTTACAGAGGGATCGTGATTAAATGCAAAAGATTCTGAACTTTCTTTACAGAGAAATCGTGATTAAAAGGTGTGTGTGTGTGTGTGAGAGAGAGAGAGAGATGCCTCCGAGTTGCCTCCACCTTATAGCGACTCTAATAGGGTTTTCAAGGGACGTGGGAAACCCACTGTATACTATAGTCGGTAGCGTTACCGACTAAAACTCGGGATGCGTGGATTCGAACCCACTTTGCCGTGGATACTCACTGGGTGCGCATATGGAACTGGTAAAACCATTCCTTAAACGTATTAGTTATCTTGAAAGCCCTGTTGCTGTTGTTCTTATGTCCCCTGGAGTCACCTCTGACGGAAGGCAACCCGGTCTAGAGATCCATGAGCGATCCCCAAAATGTCGTGCCTTCAACTTTTTTGCAAACTCAAGTCAGTCCACCTTGCATTTGGTCTCCCTCTTTCCTGGCGGTCTTCCACCTTTCCCAGGGAATCCTGCCTTCTCATGATGTACCCAAAGGAAGACAGGCTCAGCCTCAGAGATAGTTCAAGGCTTGATTCGATCTAGGACCCAGTTCTTCCTCTTTCTGACAGTCCCGACGAACAACAAAGCTCTCCTCCGGCCCCACTTCAAACAAATCAATTTTTTTTTCTCTCCTGTCAGCTTTCTCACTGGTACATGGGGATTGGAAATACAAGAGTGAGTGGATGGACTTGGTCTCCAATGACACAATTAGCACTTTCTTCTTTCAGTTTCACTAAAAGCCCTCTCAGGGTTTCTGTAATTCAAAACACAGAAGACACACAAAACATACAGTAGGGTTTTCAAGGGATGTAAGATATTTAAGGACTGGTTTTCGTAGTGCCAATCCCAGCCCCCTCGCCAGGTATTTCGTGGACAAGTGAAGATGTGACCCCAGGCTCCCGAGTCCTAATCTGTCCATCTACCACACACTGCTCAATCAAAGTATTACACCAATGTACTTACACTAATACTCATGTACAGTGGACTTGCTTAGCAACATGCACGCCTGCATTCACTGCTTCTCTCTCTCTCTCTCTCTCCATCACCACAGAGGGATGGGTCAGGCAGGCACCTCTTTCTTTCTCTCCCTTTCTCAGCACGGGAGCTGAATGTGTGAGTTGCCTCTGTCGAAACATCACTGGTTTAAGGAATTATTTTGGCTGCAGGGACCTCTTTCCTTGCCTCGCATGGTGCACCATCTCTGGAGGCTACAGTTCTCAAGTGTGGGTTTCCTCAGCTAGGGGTGGAGAGAAGAAAAGATAATTGCCCCCCCCCCATCATAAACTTGTCCATTTTTAAAAAATATACACAGGTAACAACTATAATCAGGCTAACAACCTGTATTTTTAGCTGCCAAGGAGTTACAGTTCTGGAATTTTCTGCCCTGGGAGCCTAAATAACTTGGCTGGGCTGGGTTCCCATGCATTTTCACTTGAATGGGAAAGGGAGCAGCATTTTTTGCTGTCTCAGGTGGCAAAATACGTTGGGCCAGACCTGCCCAGCTGGTTTCTTCACTGTGGGCAACCCAATCTTTAGTGGAATTTTGAGAGGAATTCAGCAGTTACAATGGTCTGTACCTAAAACAGGCAAAGGGGGAAATGATAGAGCTCCTTGTCAATATACCTAGCTCTGCAAGATGCACACCATCTCCTTTGATTGCTATGTGTTATACTATTAGGATGTCCTAAGTTACAATACTAGTTCTGCATATTTTTGTTTGACATTTGCCATCATCCCCAGCCTGGCAGGTCCAGATATGGACTATATATTTGGGTATTGCTGATTTTTTTAAATTTCCCTTTACCTTTGAAACTGCATTAAAGAAAAGACTGAGCCATTTTATATTGCTATATGATTTAGTTTCTCATTTTTGAGGTGAAATCTGTCAAATGTTTCTGTGCAGATCAGGCAGGCAGGCAGGCAGGCAGGCAGGCAGGCAGGCAGGCAGGCAGGCAGGCAGGCAGATAGATAGATAGATAGATAGATAGATAGATAGATCTGGCATGATTTTCCACCCTGGAAACTTTTGGGGATATCCAGTAATCCTCTAAATATGTTTTCCCAGCAGTGTTTGACAGTGTTGCAGGGCTTATTCCTGAAAGGGGGTTCATTCCAGGATGAAATCAGACAACAATTCTCAACCATATAAAAGCTCATCTGGGTATCAAGATGTTTTATAGATAGATAGATAGATAGATCTGGCATGATTTTCCACCCTGGAAACTTTTGGGGATATCCAGTAATCCTCTAAATATGTTTTCCCAGCAGTGTTTGACAGTGTTGCAGGGCTTATTCCTGAAAGGGGGTTCATTCCAGGATGAAATCAGACAACAATTCTCAACCATATAAAAGCTCATCTGGGTATCAAGATGTTTTTTTCATTGTTGCAATCATTCTGGGCAACATCAGCCTGTCCATTTCTATGAGCTTAATTTATCCACATTGCTTCTATGTTCCATAAGCACAAAAATACTTCAAAGTAGTTCAAAACATCCAAAAGTCTTACAGCTATGGAAAAGCTGTACACACAAATGCTTAAAAAATATATATGAAAACTAAGCTCAACTGGAAGCAAATACTTGAGTCAGAATTCAGTCCAAAATATGAGCACATAAAAAGGACAATTATTGTTGGTGTTTAGTCATTAAGTCATATCCGATTCTTCATGACCCCATGGACCAGAGCACGCCAGGCCCTCCTGTCTTCCACTGCCTCCCAGAGTTTGGTTAAATTCATGTTGGTAGCTTCAATGACACTAGCAGAGAATACATCCCTTAAAATATCAAAGTTCTTAAAAGTAAGAATGGATTAAAGTGATTTTCTTAGCCTTTAAGCATATTATTAAGACACAGAGAGAAAATTACTCTAAGCGTTCTCACCCACCAAGCTAGTTGGAACCTATGGAGGAAAATCCATGTTGTTCTCACTACGACTGTTATGCTACGTGATGTCTGATGCTCCTTGTGTTGTCATGTTGTGTTGCATTATTGTGTGTGTCTCCTGCATATATTTATAGTTCTTTCAGATGTTTACACTTCTCTTCAACTGTAAATAATAGGCTCTTGATGTACAATGAAAGTTTTTATAATACAATTTTCTTTTGCTTTTACAACTGCTGTAAAATGCAATTCCTGTAAATCAGAACCTGGCAAGCATCCACCACGACAATCAGTATTATTGTTTTGATGAAAGTTACCAAGCCAGCTATTACACTGGGTGTAAACCACAGGAATTGTAAAATAAAGGTAGAACAAGTCAACAAATGCCACCCACTGGTCTTCTCACACATTGCAACATTCTACTATAATATAAACCAATTATTTCAATACCCTTTTAATTCTCTGCTTTGTTTAGATTTTTTATCTTTTGTAAACATGTTCCACTGTCAGGTGTGAAAGAGATTCATTCAGTTATTTATTAAGTTATTTAACTTCTATGCCACCCACTCTACCCAAAGGTCTCTGGGTGGCTTACAACAATTAAAATACAATAAAAAAGGTAAAACCATTAAAATACAATTAAAATATATACTCTAAAAATTATTTCCCTGCTTTCAGACTTGGCTGGAGAGCTGGCTGATTATTTTGCCGTGACTTTTAGTAAACTGCTGTTTAAACCTCATTTTAAAAATACAGTACAATGTACATTTTCAGGGCTGCTTTTTCTACACCCTCCTTTTTTTAACGCTCTATATATTCAAAATTTCACATCTTGGCAGATGGAAGCCATCGTATCAGGCAGATTTTCAGTACCTAAAAGCCAAAATAGAAAGAATGAGGGCTAGGAAATATTACTCCTTTAGACTATAACTCCCAGAAAAATCTCTGAAATATTATGGAAAAGATTACAGTACTCAGAAATCAACCTTTTCAGGTTCTGGAAAGAACCATGCTATTTCCTTCCTCATCAACCACATGGCAAATCAACTTTGAAATTGTGCTGGCATTTAAAAGAGATTATGACAGAGCATATGCATCCAGAAATCGTACTGGAAATGTCAGGCTCTCGAGATTGCCTGAAATAATAATCTGAATCTCAGCCAATGTCCTTACATCTAATACTGAATGTCAATAGTACTTCATATAGAAGCCGTGAATAGTCTGATGGCACATAGTATAACTAATGGTGGAATTCTTTAAAAATGTATCTGTTTTGGTGTAGGTTGATTTAGAAACCTAGTGGGCAGAAAAAGCAATTAACAGATTTTTTTAATGAATAATTAAGCAATTTATCTAATGTTATAGCTACTGGAAGTGAGATTTGATGATAAAATACTGGCAGGCTTCAGGCTTAGATGATCTGTTCTTTTCTTCCTAGGACTTACACCCGGAGTCTTCTGACCTGAGCCATGTGTCCAATGATGTAGTTGTGCCATCTTGGGGGGTGAGGGTGGGGGGAGGTCCAAGGTGCCAATGCTTTTTTTGCAGCCAAGACCCTCCCTGTTGGCTCTGTCAGATTGCTCTCTCCACCCCTCCTTTCAGGTAACTGCTGGTTCATGTCACTTCAGACTGGTCCCTCCTTGAAACCCCCCTGGGAGTTAGAAAATCTTTGTTGGTTCTCCTGCAGATCGCTCAGCAAGTCTATCAGTAGAAAAGAGCATCTACAGGAATTTGGGGGTGGGGGTGGGGACAAGAGATAGCATAGTGGTGCATAGTGGTATAATGAGCATAATGAGCACACCCTCAACATGGTGTGTCTGTCCGTGTTCATTAAAATTATAAATAAATGTAGGATTCTAGGGATAAGCACCTCTATTTATTCCTCTCCCTGTGAACACACAAGGCAGTAGATCCAAACCTACCTTCTGCCTAATCTCATAGTAGAAGCAGAAGAATATCCGAGGCATGAAGGAAATGCTTTAAAAAGTATCCAGTGTATTCTTTAGTTACAGGGAAGATTTCATGTTTGGTTTGTGGTTAAATTAATCATGTATCTCTCCAGAGACCTTTCATGGTTTCCACATTGCATTCTCATTTTACCTAATGAAAGTTCACATAAAGTTCATGGAAGTCTGGAAGATGGTTGTATGCAACTGCTCAGTAGAGAGAAGATTCTTTATGTAACAACAAAACACATGAAGCTCTGTGATATTGCCCCCTTTTCCTGTCCTTTTTCATAAATCTATGCACCCCAGATCGCCTATGAGTCTAAGGAGACAAAGGACTGGGGGAAGCAGGGAAAAGCAGGTTGATCCTGCTTGCTTGACTTGTTGGGTTTTCCCCTGCGCCAAATCCTCCTCTTCCACAAACTAAGTGGGGCAAGGCTGGCCCTACCATTAGCCAGAATGAAGCAGTTGCCTTAGGCGGTATATATTGTGGGAAATGAATCTTTCTTCTTCCTCCTGAGACTCCTCAGCTATTTCTTATTGTTGAAGGACAGGGTTGTGTGTGCTGTTAGACATCTGTACATAGAACAAAGGTGGGTGGGCTGTGTTTCAAAAGAAGCAAGACTGATTCTTGTACTGAGAAGCTCTGAGAGATGGAAGTGGGGAGAGCATTAGCAGCTTCTCCTTTTCTGTCATTTTTCTGACTGGAATTGTTGCCTCCTGAGACTGTTTTTGATAGGGAAAAATCAGAAATAATGCATCATGGGAGTGCTTGTAATGTATAGTATAATGTTTTCCCTTCTGCATCATTTTTATTGATTAATAATAAATATTTCTTTACACCTTCTACTACAGGAGCTTTTATTGTCACTTGATTTTTAAAAAAATGCTTTCTATGACCAACAGCTTTAGATTAACCAGTAGCGATAGATTAGCCAGTCCTGGCAGAAGGTGGGATGACGAACCTTTCTGCCAGGTTGCAGAGTGGCTAATCTATTGCGAGCAACGGAGCGATAGGAAGGCACCATGGAGCTCGTGGCAGTGGCGGAATCATGAGTGGTCGGTCTGGCCCCAGGGGGGCGGGCCCTTGTTGTCTGCACCTGTGGGGGAGGATATTCATATTCGTATACGAATACCTGTATCTCTATTTGTAATCATTAAATGTTCATTTTGTCCTAAGGTGCGTTTCTTGAGTAAGTTTCCTAAAGAGAACGTCACTATGTTGCTGCAAATGGTTTGTACATGGAAAGACGTTGTGTACTGTATTTATAAGTCCTTGGCTCTTGACATATCCAGCAAACCAGAATGCACATAAGTTACTTGAATTTGTGCTACTGTTTACTTGAAAACTGTTGTCGTATTTGGCAGTAATGTAGTGATGATCCTATTTTTATAATTCCTCTCCCTCCAACATACAACTAGCACCATGCAGTTGTTAAGAGAATATTCTTAAGACAAATAATGTAGAGCTTAGAAGCACAGATACTTTGGACCTTCTCAAAGCATGGATGGAAGAGCTTCTTAGAACCCCACAACTGTTCCTCTTAAATCTCGGGGGGAGGGAACTACTATGGAGTTCTACAGGTTCTGTCCCCAGTGCTAATTTATGAAGTCAATGTGTGTGTGTGGGGGGTCATCATTTGGAAATCAGACGTAATAATCTGATGATGCCCAGCAATCCATTTGTCCATTGCATTTGAAACAGGAGACACCAAGCATGATTTGACCTAGACACAGGAATAATGAGGCAAAATAAGTTTAATCATAAAATGGAAGTAATATGGGTATGAGAATACTTTTTGGGGCACCAGATGTTCTTGGACTAAAACTCCCAGAAGCTGTCACCACTCATGAAGGCTTCCTACTCATGAAGGTCATCCAAGAGGATACTGTGGCCAACAGCATCAAAAGTCTCTAAGAGATTAGATATAGTAATAGAGTTGCATTCCTCCATCTGTTTCCTGTACAAGATAATCCACAAGGGCAACCAAAGCTGATTCTGCCCAGATTTGGGCCTGAACACCAAATGAACTGTTTTAAGATAATTCATCTCCTTCAAGAGTATTGACAGTTGAACCAGTATTACTCAAATTCCTTGTCTCAAAACAGAGTACTTGTCAAACACCTCTGATTGCAGAGAGCACTCCTTGCTGAATGGGTGCATTATCTATTTCCCTAAGAGTGGCAACAACCATTGCATTATGTCACACTCACCCCTTCCTGGACCCATCTGGTTGTCTGTGGCTACCTCGAATAAGCTCCAGCGGGTGAAGCCCCAGTGACCATGCCATGGACCAGCCGGTTTCAAGTATCGTCCCATCTCCTCAGGCCACAGCAAAGGAATGTTAAGGAACTGCCCCGAACAGAAATGACTGCTCTGATCATTTTATCGGATTTTTGCTTTGCTCAGGATAGAGCACCTGCCCACCTTGCTTAACATATGTGTTATTTCCTTCTCTGCAGTTAAACCTTCTCTGCTTTATCCATAGCTCAAGAGACCGCAGGCAGCTGCTAGCTGCGAACCAACCTGGGGTCTGTCACTATGGTACTAGGCTTGACTGCTGCTATGGCTGGAAAAGCAACAGTAAAGAGCATTGTGAAGGTAACAGTAACCTTGCGTTATGCCTTTGTGTTTATAAATACTGTATATACCTAAATCTGAATGAATTTGGCTTCTTATGGGCCATTTCAGGGTTAACTCTCTTTCACTCTGCTGGAAAACTTGTGGAGACAGTGCCATTTCCTGCTGAGAAAGAATGTGGGCAGACTGTTTAAAATTATATGGAGGCAAAATATTGAGGCACTTTAAATTTTCTGTACATCTCTAAAGGCCTAAATAGTGATCACGATTTCTTAATACACTAAGTATTTTAATAACCCAGCTTTCTGTAATTTTCTATAGGTATTAAATAATTCTCTTTTTGACAGCTTCTGACTCTTATCATTTCTGGGACAGGCAGGTCTATCTGGCAAAATTTATCAACTGCTTAGGGCCTTTGATCTGAAGTTATCAATAGAGTGATAGTCCTGTTCCTATGTTATTGAAGCACTCTCATTTTGTCTATTAGCAGTATACTCACCTGGTCATGGGGATATGTATAAATATATAGACATGTATTTACACGTCATATATCTGAAGAAGTTGATTTCCTTCAAAATGGATAGGTTTGTTCTCCTTGCAGTCCAGGGGACTCTCAAGAGCCTCTTCCAGCACCACAATTCAAAAGCATTAATTCTTCGGCGGTCAGCTTTCTTTATGGTCCAGCTCTCACTTCCATACATCTCTAAAGGATGAGGAATTAAAGAACCTCTTAATGAGAGCGCAAAAAATGGTCTGAAGCTCAACATTAATTGTGGTGCTGGAGGAGACTCGTGAGAGTCCCCTGGACTGCAAGGAGAACAAACCTATCCATTTTGAAGGAAATCAACCCTGAGTGTTCACTTGAAGGACAGATTCTGAAGCTGAGGCTCCAATACTTTGGCCATCTCAGGAGAAGAGAAGATTCCCTGGAAAGACCCTGATGGGAAAGTGTGAGGGCAAGAGGAGAAGGGTACAACAGAGGATGAGATGGTTGGACAGTGTCACCAAAGCTACCAGCATGAATTTGACCAAACTCCGGGAGGCAGTGAAAGACAGGAGGGCATGGCGTGCTCTTGTCCATGGGGTCACGAAGAGTCTGAAATGACTTAACGACTAAACAACAACAATCATGATTTCAAAATGGCTGCTATCTGTTATTGGAGGTGTTGGGCAGGAGGCAACGGAAGAGAGACAATTTCTTTTTTGACCATTCTGTAGTTTGTAGGTTTCTACTAAAAGGTGTGGATAGCATTGTTTGATAGTGGAAAAGTTGTATGCATATGCAACATATTGTTTCTTTTTATGGACTCCACTGATGCATGAACATTTTTCTGTTTCAAGAGTTGGCAAAAAATCTCAGAGGTTCACTTTGGGGTTTTGATCCCTTTTCAGTGTTTAATATCTTCTCAGGCTTGTTTTGGTAGAGATTAAGAAACTTGAAGAGAAATGTATCCTATATACAAGCCATGCAGAAATATTTATAGCCATGTGATTTTGATTAAGCAACATATGTCGTCATCAAATACTCACATTAATAGAGGACTGATAATTTCTAACTGTCTAGAACTCTGGTGGAAATACATCTATGATTTACCTGTACAGATGCTCAGATTTCAGGCCCCTGAGGAATTAATTTATTGAAGGATCCATGGTTAATTATTAGCCTCTAAGCTTTTAATTTTCAAAAAGAAAAAAATCAGTATAAACACAAGGGAGCTGTTGAATGTTTTCTCCAGCTGAATTCTGGCAAGGGTGGATGAACTAATAAAATGTTGACTTTAGGAGTCATCCAGTTCTTAGATATCACATGTGCTGTCCTGATGAGTTTAGCTTTGAGTATCTAGTGCAGATGAACAAAAGTTCACATCATAATTGATATACTCACCAGGCTGATGTCCAATGTTGAGCTCAGCCAAAAGAGCCTTCTGTCCATACATTAATGCAGATTGCAGATAATATTCCTAGTTGAAAGCATCAACATCTGTTGAATGGAGCAGTCTTTTATTAAGCATGCTTTTGTATTGTTTGTGTAACCCCGATTCATCTGTTGAAGTCCAGTATATCAGGTGGTAAGAATGATAGCATGTAGAAGTCTTTCAAAGCAGGAGTTAGAGTGGTGTTTGAATGTGTGTGTGTGCACATGCATGTGTGTGCACACGTGTTTAAACAACAGAATTCCCTTGTATTGTTACTCTATTTTGGAAAATGTTTTTAGAAAACCTGTGGTTTGACTCAGGTGTGATATATGTATACCACATCTATTAAGATACATCTATTAAGATAAAGTACAGACATGCTTGACTGTCTTGTTTCATATTTATTACATTGTTCTTTTTACATTAGACAACATCTGATCAGATTTACTGTAAGATCGTACCTGTGTGGTGGTGACTGTAGCTGGCAACAGTGATGGTAAAATTTAATTTAAGTAAATTTGGAACAAACATTATTTAAATTGTCAGATATCAGTAATATATTACAGAAGAACATTGCAAGAGACAATGAAATCCATACATGTTCAGTTTGGCAAGTTAGAAATATTGCTGAAGCCATCCTGGAACTTCATTTGCTTCCCTAGTGACCATGACCAACAGAAAGAAAATCTAATAATGATTGAGAAGACTCCAATTATTCAGAGAGAAACATGGTACGTTAGAAAGCAGGGTCTATGGCAGCCAGCCACTGTGACGCATGGTATATTAGTTGTATTATATTCTGAGGTGGAAAAATGTCCAGGTCCAAATGTGAGCCTCTTCATTCTTCCTGTGTTCTTAGGATAATTTCCATGGAAATTGCATGAGGTTTAAGCCAGTCCAGCAAGAATGTGGACCTACAGTAATCTAAAACAGATCTCATAACTGTCCAAAAGGAAATCACTGTGTTTCGAAATATGTGTAGATATTTGGAGAGCATTTATTAAATACTATGTTAAATAAGAAAAAGAACACAATTGTGGATGTTCCTGGGATGAATTTCTTTTTTGCTTGTTGTTTGTTTATAAAACCACTCTACTCATCTCAGGGATACCCACAATGGTGTTAAATATTTGCTCCACCCAGGCCTCTGCCTTTTTCTTTTCTTTTTCTTACTGAACATAGTATTTAAATAAATGATCTCCAAATATTTTAGAGGGCACATCAGAGCAACCCCAAAAGAAATCTAACACTTTCACTTGAATGCCAGTCTGCTTCCTTCCCTGGGAATTATGCAGATTTCAACCATGGGAAAGAGAGAAGGGCAAGAAAACACTTTTGTCTGGAAGGAACATCAGAGGGGATTAAGAGGTCGGTGGCAACAGGTGTGTCATGGACCACTGATTTGTATAAAAGGGGCTAGAAAAAGTAGATCCCCCAGCTTTTCTCTAAGAAAGGGACTGTAGCTCACCTGCTGTTCTAAGAAGACACAGGTCCCGGATCCAAGGGACGTCTCTGCTAAGGTACAAATAATATGTAGATTAGCTTAGCCTTTGTTGTTTCTGGTGTGATTCTTTTAAATTACCAGAGACCGTATCTGTATTTTATTGCAAGTAACTTTTGCAGCCCTTTTGTAACTTTTTGGAACTTTTGACCTTTTTTCTCTTTTTTCTTTTACTTAAATACAAAACTCCTTTCAAGCAGCCAGCTGGATTTTTGGCTGAGAGGGTTGTAGTACTAAAACCAGGTCTTGCCTTGACCAAGCTCCCCAACTGTTGGTGCTTGGGTGTGGGTGTAGTGGCAGTGCCACTCTTGCAGAGAAGGCACCTTGCTTCTCAATGTCTAGCATTGTAGATTTTCCCCAAAAAAACTTTCTGGAAACACTGCCAGAATGGAGGATGTGGGGTTTTTCTAAAGGGGGAAAAATGATCTCTGTCAGACTCCGTAGCCATCACCATCATTGACTCTTACCTGGGCTTACCCCCCCTCCCCAAAGAGAAACAAGAGCAGGGGGCCAGAAAGGCTGTAGAAAGGGATTTTGACCAGATACCATGACATGCTGCTTGAAAATGAGTCCTGTCGAGAACACATTTAGAGTCAGGATAATTGAAATGTGAAAGCATGTTCATTTGGTGAACATACTTACTTTCCTAAAAATACCTGTATTCATCTATTTAGAAGCAATAGTGCCCTGAGCACACCAGATGCTGTTTGATTTGGAAGCTAAGTAGGGTCAGGACAAGGTTGTGCTTGGATGGGAGACAACCAGTTAACTCCCACAGTCTTCAGGAAGGGCTAGCAAAGAATCTCTCTTGAAACCTTGAGAGAGCCTCTGCCAGTCACAGCTACAGTCCTTGGTTAGAGCACCAGTTGTCTGATTCAGTGACTGAAATCCAGTAGTGAGCTGCAGCTAGAACAGGTTTATTGGAACTTACAGAGAAGTTGACTCTTCAGATTTTCAGATCAAATTTCTACTGATTCAATGGGTCTACTTTAGTTGTGACTTGGTCATGGATTTCAGCCGGTACAAGATAGTGTTTTTTATGTTCCTAATGTTTATAAAACCTTCTTGAACCAAGCCACATCAAGGAAGGGAGAAGTTAATGTGGTGGGAAACAAGCTTAAGAAATGGAAAGTGAATTCAGAAATTTCAAATATTGACTACTGTAAAACTCTCTACATAGGTGGGGCTTTCCTTGAAGCTGGCCCAGAAACTACAGCAGATGTAGAATGTGGTTGCCATGCTGATGTAGAGTGTGAACAAGTTTGACCACATCTCCCTAGTCCTGGCTCACCTGCATTGGTTTTCTGTTTCATACTGGGCCAGGTTCTTACCTATAAAACCCTGAATGGTTTGGGACCTTGTTACTTATCAGAGTGCCTTTCCCTAAGAACATCAGACCATACCATGCAATCATTGCAGGCCATGCTCTTGCAGGTTGCCACACTGAGAGAGGCCAAAAAGACATCCACAAGAAGTCAAGCTTTGTTAGCTGTGGCATCATCTTTATGGATTGGGCATCTGGTAGAGCTGCATCTGCCCCAACTCACTCCCAGCCTTCAAGAGGATGTTCAAGACTAGGCTGTTCACAGAAGCTTTTAAGGGTGCTTTTGCCTGAGCCACTATGCATTTATTCCACCTGCCCCACCATTGCTTAGGTTTAGATTTCATTTTATGTTAGATTTATTAAATTAGACTTTTGTTAATTTGTTTATGCTGCTACTGATGATCTGTTGTTATGTTGTTTGATTTCTTTTGATCATAAATGGCTAAGAGTAATGCCTGGTGGTATACAAGTACAGTATATTGAATGAATGAATGAATGAATGAATGAATGAATGAATGAATGAATGAATGAATGAATGAATAAATAAATAAATAAATAAATAAATAAATAAATAAATAAATAAATAAATAAATAAATAAATGTTTGCTTTCTGGTGATGGTGATTGTAGTAATAGTTGTCATCACTAGTTATCTATTTTACTTATTTAAAACTTCTATAACCCAACATATATCACAGATTCTCAGAGGAGGTTACAAAACCATATAAAATGATTAAAAACACAAGATTTTTAAAAACTATTTAAAATGAAACAGATAAAAACATACAACTAAAATTTTAAAATGTTAAAACCATTGTGGAGGCTATGATCCTCATCCCCAAAGGCTCTAATAAATAAGCATGTTTTGACTTAAGAATCAAAATGATGCCAATGTCACTACCAACTGAGCCTCCAAGGGGAGGGTGTTCAGCAGTCAGGGTGCTACAGCCAAGAAAGCCCTCCCCCATGTTTCCAAATATGGTACTAGAGTAGAGCTTTGTGGAGTGACAGAAAGATGAACAAGTGGGTCGTAGAGTAAATCAAGCCTAAACTATATGTGGAGGCAAAAATGATGCAACTGAGGCTGTTTTACTTTGGGCACATCATGAGAAGGCAACATTGTCTGGAAAAGACAATAATGCTGGGAAAGTTTGAAGGCAACAGGAAAAGAGAAAGACCAAATAAGAGATGGATTGACTCCTTAAAGCAATGGTTCCCAGCTTTGGGTTTCCAGATGTTCTTGGACTAAAATTCCCAGAAGCCTTCACCAATAGCTGTGCTGGCCAGAATTTCTGGGAGTTGTAGTCCAAGAACATCTGGGGACCCAAGATTTGGAAACACCGAACTGAAGAAAGTTATAGACTTGAGTTTACAAGAGCTGAGCAGGGCTGTTAAGGACAGGAGATTTTGGAGATTACTCATTCATAGAGTTGCCATATATTGGAGGTCACTTGATGGCACATAACAACAATATGTTTCCACAGAAGAAATAGTTCTTAATGGTGGGACACAGAAAAGGGCCACCATAGCAGATCTTAGTGATAAGGCAGGTTTATGTACAGAAAGGTGCTCCTTCAAAAATCTAGTACTAGACATCAGCTACATTAAACATGTTTCTCATATATCGTTTTTTTTAAAATAAGGGTCTTTTAATCATTTAAAGACAGAGCCATCTCCAGATTTCCATTACTAAGATCTTGGAGACTAATGGAATAAAATAATTTTCAAAACATTGTTTTATAATTGTTAAGCTTAAAAAAAAAACCCTACTGGCAACTGCAGAAAACATCAAAGAAAAAGTGAACCTGGTTATTTAGGTTGTCATTTAACCTTCTGGAATAACCATGGCTTTCACTGATCATTAAAATGTAAGGACTAGGGGTTATATTTGATCTTCCAACTGGAGTAGACCCATGGAAATCAATGGAGCTTGAATCATTGTAACTGATAAGTCCCGTTTATTTTTCTGGGTCTGCTCTACTTGGATTTACAGTATCTCCAACAGGCCTGATGGGTCTCTGCTGAAAGAACATCCCTCAGATATTTATCAAAATGCCCAAATGGTTTTATATGGTTGGAGGCACTCCTTATATAATCAATGGTCAGATCACACTGAAAAGAACAAACTGTTAGGTTATGTAACACATGTCATTTCATCATGTTAATGGCAAGTAAAAAGACTTTTGTTTACTGTTGACATTTTTCTCAAAATTAGTATCCTCAACATTTATACCACCATATTTTTATTCTATCTTTATAATAATTATAGCTTCGAGTCAGTGTAAATATTTTTCAGATCAAGCAAAACAAGCATTTTTTGCAACCCCGATATGGGTCTTTTTAGCAGTGCTTTTCCTGCTGGTGTTTTAAACATATAACTGAATTTATTTCTTTATTTACTAACAAACTAACTTCCATAATTTTTTTTCTTACTTTGTTACTTGCTTTGTTCCTGTCATACTTTTCTCCCAAAAATCAGTCCAGGGCAGCTGAAGAATATTCTAGTTTGGCAGTCTTGGTGGGAGGCCAGTTCCCAGAGGTGTCACTCCAGTAGCACAAATGATGCTGCGCTCACAGACACTTCTAGTTCTGGAGTGTATACAAGGTGGGATCCCCCACCATTCGCACAATTCACGAATTGCATGAGCACTTGCACTGCTCGTTGAACCCACATGCAGTGGGTTGCATTAGGACCGCACAAACAAACCTACTTCCCATTCCACTATGATGAAAAAAAAACAGTCAGAACTTTCCCAGCACACTGTTTTCCTTCTCCAATAACAACAACACGTCTTTGTCTTGTTTTGTTTCTTTGGATTTTGCCTGATATGCTTTCACAGACTAGTACAGCTACTTCTTCTAAAACAACAGCTTATACTGTATATTCAATATTTAATGGAAACTTACGTTTTTGGTTAAAACTTATATTTGTTACATAATACCAGTCGTCGTCGTCGTCGTCATCATCATCATCATCATCATCACCATCATCATCATCATCATCATGCTGTATTAGATTTAGGCCATCATGTTTTCAACTCTTTTTTCTTTTATTCTCCCTCCATAGCCATCTGTGAACATGGATGCAAATATGGGGAATGTGTGATGCCAAACAAATGCAAATGTTTTCTTGGATTCACAGGAAAAACCTGCAACCAAGGTATGTACAATCTCATTTTTTTCTTATAGACTACATTTTCAACAAATGCAGTTGTTATACTCCAGTGTCATTTACTTTTGGTGAGAACTGACTTTTGATTGATTGACAACTTTGATTGTAATGGAGAGACCCAAATTTCAGGATGTCAGAAAATATATCGCTCTATTTCAGTCTAAAAATTCAGCCTGAATGTATGGCCTTCTTCAAGGGCATTGATTTTTGGTCTTAGTTCTTTCTCCTTTTTGGGGGGTTGTACACAACTTCAGTAGATTAGTTATGATCCAGCATCATCTACCTTTTGAGAGACTAACCTGATTAATCATGAATTTTAAATTACTGAAGAAGGAAGAAAGTTTTAAATATCCTATGTTGTGAACTAAGGTAAAGGTAAAGGTTCCCCTTGACAATTTTTGTCCAGTCGTGTTCGACTCTAGGGGGCGGTGCTCATCCCCGTTTCCAAGCCATAGAGCCAGCGTTTTGTCCGAAGACAATCTTCCGTGGTCACATGGCCAGTGCGACTTAGACACGGAACGCTGTTACCTTCCCACCGAGGTGGTCCCTATTGATCTACTTGTATTTGCATGCTTTCGAACCGCTAGGTTGGCGGGAGCTGGGACAAGCGACGGGCGCTCACTCTGTCATGTGGATTCGATCTTACGACTGCTTGGTCTTCTGACCCTGTAGCACAGGCTTCTGCGGTTTAGCCCACAGCGCCACCACGTCCCTATGTTGTGAACTACTTGTCCAATATTATTGACTGATTGATTTGATTTGTATAATGCCCCTTCCATGAACACATGGCTCTGAGTGGTTAACAAATAAAACTCAGAACCCCACACATCCCATAAAACAATACAGTCAGTATGGGGGTTCACTGCTTATTCAAAATCAGTAAATCTCAGATTGATTTATACTGAGATTATGTGCTCAATATTTTCACATCAGTGATCATTAAGAATATTTCCCTAAGGATATTGGTAATTCTAATTAGTAAGAATATTTTTCAACAAGTTATTACACTGCATAAAATAATATAATAAAAGTGCAGCTGTTTTTAATGGTCATCTCTACAATTTATTGTACCAACATTCAAATGAGTATAAAAAAGCCATTTTTATAGTTGGCTTTTATTGTTGTCTTCTTGTTTATGGAGAGAGCACCAGTATTCGATGGATTTAAATTTTGATTTTTGACTGTTAGGTGGCTGGACATGCGTTGCTAGCTGTCTCAAGGCTCAGGACCAAATCTGTGTTGTGTTTGTGGAATGCTGGCATGGCAAAAAGGGGAGGGAGCTAGTGCATTCGCAGATGTGGGGCCACCCTGCCATTTGGAAAAAGTCTTGAAGTAGAGCACCAGTGTTGTAGCTCATGAACCTTTTTGTTGCAGAAACTCTAGCAGTACACGGCCTCACACACACACACACACACACACACACACCGTGAGAGAGAGAGAGAGAGAGAGAGAGAGAGAGACTCTTGGGAGTCCCCTGGACTTTAAGGAGAACATACCTATCCATTTTGAAGGAAATCAACCCTGAGTACTCATTCGAAGGACAGATCTTGAAGCTGAGGCTCCAATACTTTGGCCATCTCATGAGAAGAGAAGACTCCCTGGAAAAGACCCTGATGTTGGGAAAGTGTGAAGGCAAGAGAAGGAGGGGACAGAGGACAAGATGGTTGGACAGTGTCACCGAAGCTACCAACATAAATTTGACGCAACTCCGGGAGGCAGTGGAAGACAGGAGGGCCTGGCGTGCTCTGGTCCATGGGGTCACGAAGAGTATATATACTCTTACATAAGCTTTCGTTAGGATGGACATTGCATTTTGATTTAATGGTGTGCATCAAAGAAATTGAATGGGATGAAACTCTTGCAGGTCTCAAAGAATATGTTCCTGCCACCACTAACATGACACTGTTGCTGTCAAAAAGAGTAGACTACTGCCATGACTGTGTCACTGTGTAGCAGCATATCACATGACTCCTAATGTATATGGCACAGGTTGAAGGATGTTTAAATATCCAGCAAGAGCCTTCTCTCTCCTTATTGGATATTTTCTCTCCAGTTTGCGACAAAGAAGAGCTGAAGCCAGCACAGTCCCAGGACAATGGGAGGTGAGAGACAACTTGCTTTGACTAGAATTCAGTCCCAAATGAATTAGTCGCATTAGGGATTATGTTTCTGTTTGGCTGTGCTGTGCTTTCAGAACATCTACATGTATATATAAATTACAAATTTATATATTTAAATAAGAATTATATCACAATGCAATGTCCATCCTAACGAAAGCTTATGTAAGAGTGGATGACCATCTTTTCTAAGCAGGAAGATCAGAGACTGTACTACTTAGAAGTACAACCTTCCCTATTTAGCATGCACATTGCCTATGGCTAGGGCATTTTAGATGTTGTAGACAGAAAATAACTCTCCCGTTCTTTGATTATGCAAGGTTAATCTGCTCATGGAACATCTGGAATCCCATTCGTGTACACCCTGTTTCCCCAAAAGTAAGACCTAACCTGAAAATAAGCCCTAGTATGATTTTTCAGGATGCTTGTAATATAAGCCCTACTCCAAAAATAAGCCCCAGTTAAGTGAACCCACACCCTCCAACATTGTGCAGCAACCAGATGATGATGACATGACTGTAAAATAAAACATCCCCTGAAAATAAGCCCTAATACATTTTTGGAGCAAAAATTAATATAAGACCCCATCTTATTTTCAGAGAAACACAGTAGTTGTAGATTTTTCGGGCTGTTCGGCCGTGTTCTGGAGGTTTTGCTTCTTAACGTTTTGCCAGTCTCTGTGTTCTGGTCCAGAACACAGACAGAATTGTAACTCCTGTCCTCTGAAGATCTCAAAGACTGGCAAAACGTTAGGAAGAAAAACCTCCAGAACATGGCCAAACAGCCCAAAAAACCTACAACAACCATCGGATCCCGGCCATGAAAGCCTACAAAAATCCATTCATATATACTTTCTGTTACAAGATGAAATCAAACCTTGAAGTATCTCATTTTGTCTGTACTGGAATCACATGCAAGTTATTTTCTTCCTCTCATTTTCTGCTACATACAACCTAATGTAAAGTACTCCTACTGGATCAGTGGGCGCTTGGTAAATCAACATTTACTTAGGTTTTATTGATTCAGTCAGTTTGTCCTGTGAGTACCTAGTGTGGTGTATTGGACAGAGTGATGGACTAGTGTTTGAATGCCTGTTCAGCAAAGGAAAATCACTGGAGCAGGATGAGGGTGGGTAGCATTGGTAAAACCACTCCTTAGATATCTCAGTTACCAGGAAAAACCTCCTATAAGTGAGTTTCAATGATGTAATATCCCAATATAGGCTAATACTAGTGTAAATTGGGATTTAAACTGAAGGGAACAAATTGACAACACACAAATATCCAAGGAGTAACAAGTAAACATTATTTGTTGTAAAAACACCCAGCAACCTGATACCACTAAAAGATCTAAAAATGACTGTTGTTATGCTCTCATTTCCCCTCAGAGGAACAAAATAACAAAATGTCTTGATGCATCTAATCAAGTGGGCTGCAGCCACCAGAAGCTCATGCCAAATAGAACTGGTTGGCTTTTAAGTTGTCCTTACTATCAATTGATAATATAAAGCACAAATAGCCAATGTGCATTCCCTCCTTCAGGGTCAAAAATGCAGCCACCAGCATCCTTACTCCCAATGTTTTTTTTTATCATCTCAAAAGGTCACCTTGTATTCTCTGAGGGAGGGTTGGAAAAAATTCCATCATGTTTTGAAGAAGCCTCAGCACCATGATTTCCCTCAAAACTTATTTAATTTTTTTAAATTTCCTCTAGAGGGCAGAAGAGGGTGTTTCCAGTAAAATATCTATTTTGTAAGATTTTTGTGGGGATGGGTAATTGGGGGGGCAGGTGCAACTCTTCAAGGTCCAAGGATGTATATGTGTGGTCCCCAAACCTCCAGAGATTTCCCTCCCCAGGTGTAATGGATGAAAATAATTTGCAGCATGGTCTTGAAAGTTGCCGTAAAAATATTAAACTGTTTTGTGCATGTACACAGTTCTATATTTTTCATTCAACGATGAGTTGCTTTGCCCAGCCTACTGTCACTGCATACAGAAAATATGTCAATTTTTCTGATCTTGTATATACAGTACATAGAAGGTTTACAGTTTTAGTTGAGAATTACAGATGTTTCCCTTGGTCAAGTCTGAGAATCTTTGAGACGTGATGACAAGCCTAAAAGGTCAGCCTGTAACTAACAGTGTAACAGCTGTTTTCTTTATTTCTTTTCCTCCGCAATTGGTCTACTTGTACAAAACTCTTTCCTCGCTTCTGTCAGGTGTGCCAGGAATTTCATGTTAGTCTTCCTCGTGCAGATAGTCTGGTGAATCTTTTTCTCTTTGCCAGGAGTCAGTCTCCCTTATATCCTGCATCTATATCTCCAATGAGAATGTAAGCCATGAAACAACATTGCAATAAAGTATTTCTTTTCCTTCAACGTTTCACATGATTTCTGCAGATATCAATGAATGTGGATTGAAACCCCATCCCTGCAAACACAGATGTATGAACACACACGGCAGCTACAAGTGCTATTGTCTCAATGGGTACATGCTCATGCCAGATGGCATCTGCAGAAGTAAGTGGCAAATATTATATTAGGTTGAGTGAATGGGACAGACTTAAGTCTGCATTATAGCTAATAATAAAATAAATTATGATACACTATACGGCAGTGGTCCCCAACCTTGGGCCTCCAGATGTTCTTAGACTATAACTCCCAGAAGCCTTCACTACCACCTCTGCTGGCCAGGATTTCTGGGAGTTGAAATCCAAGAACATCTGGAGGCCCAAGGTTGGGGACCACTGCTATACGGAGTGTAAGATTTAGGCCAGGGGTGAAGAAACTTTGACCCCAAAATGATTTCTACTACAAATCCTTCTTTTTTTTAAAAAAAAAATGGCCTTGAAAAATAGGATTGGTGAGAGTTGTAGGACCAAGCATCTGGAGAATCGAAAATTGGCTTTCCCTCATGCAGTCTATAGCATATGAATGTCTCCAGACTCTAGTGCTGTCAGCCTTTATAGTCTTATAATTGTTCACATGTTTAAATGTTTCTCTTTTAAGGAGAAAAGTTTGGTATATAACTATATACATTATTTATTTATTTATTTATTTATTTATTTATTTATTTATTTATTTATTTATTTATTAGATTTTTATCCCGCCCTATAACTTTTTTTGTATAATTTTTATTTACCATTTTACTATGATAAATCACTTCCCCGTGGTGCATTGGTTAAACTGCAGTACTGCAGTTAATTCTCTACTCATGACCCGAGTTCAATCCCAAACTTAATTTGTCTGTAGGATATTTTAAAATTTGAGAAGTACATGTTTTTTCTGCATCCTTTCAGTGCTGCCTGTGACAACCTCTTCTAAGCCTGGCCATTTTCCATCTGAATGATTTCAAATTTTAATTGAGGTCATTTATTTGAATTGTATGTTTTATTGTTGTTTTAGTGTTGTACACCACCCACCCACCCACTTAGGCAATAGGGAATGAATACAGTATTAGCAGAGATCTTTTCTGTTACTATCTGTAATCTTCTTGTTTTCTGATGCTAGCCTAGCATTTGACAAGTAACAATATGTTTTTAAAGATTCCAGGACATGTGCTATGGTGAACTGTCAATATGGCTGTGAAGAAGTGAAAGATGATGTGCGATGCTTGTGTCCGTCAAGTGGACTTCAGTTGGCACCAAATGGAAAAACATGCATAGGTACATCTAGATGTTCTTGATGCCATAAATTTCAACACAAAAGGATACAAGTTAATGTCCTATGAGAGCAACAGAATCAAACAGCAGCTATAATTCTAGGGTAAAGGTTAATGAGTACTACTCACATAAAGTTGTGGGCTGTTATATTTATAACTTTCATCACTGTTGTCCTCCATAAGTGGCTTTTGGTTTGAATGGGGAGGACATCTCACACTAAACCTGTCCCCTCACCTTAGAGCATGACCCACCCTTGTCATCATCACTATCATATAGGAGGCTTGTGTGAAGTTCCAGTGTCAGATAGCTGAAACTGGCAATGTTTTCTTACCTCACAGAACCTGAGTGCCAAAACACTCTGAGAGCTGTTTCCACTGAGCAATTGGAAGTCCCATGAATTTTCTGTATGTTCACCACTAACTTGGTCAGTTCATTACCAGCTCCTCTATGACCAGCTGAATTCAAAGCAGGTAGCTAAATAAATATTGCAGATGAGCTGAGAGTGTGTGGCTTCCCTTTTTGTTGCTGTTTAGTCATTTAGTCGTGTCCATTAAGTCTTTGTGACCCCATGGACCAGAGCACACCAGGCCCTCCTGTCTTCCACTGCCTCCCGGAGTTGGGTCAAATTCATGTTGGTAGCTTCGATGACACTGTCCAACCATCTCATCCTCTGTCGTCCCCTTCTCCTCTTGCCCTCACACATTCCCAACATCAGGGTCTTTTCGAGGGAGTCTTCTCTTCTCATGAGAGTGGCTTCCCTAAGGTCACCTTAATTTGTTTACTGAGATGGAACGTGAACTGGAAACTTCTTAAGTCACAGTTTGCTTACTGCACCCTAACAGTTTTTGACAGTGGTTCCTAACCTTGGGTCCCCAGATACTCTTGGACTAAAATTCTCAGAGGGCTTCACCACTAGCTGTCCTTGCCAGGATTTCTGGGAGTTGTAGTCTAAGAACTTTGAGACCACTTCCTACTTCTCTCCCATGGCTTTTCTGACACCTGTGTAATCTCTTTGATTGCATAGGAACTGTGGGATGGAAGGAGGAAGTCCTTAATTACCAAAAAATGCCACTATCAGATGACTTTACCAACAAAGGGAGATTCTCAGTAATTAAATACTTCATCCTTCTATCCCATGGTTTCCATGCAATGAAAGGGATTACATGGCAGCTGGAAAAGCTGCAGGACAAAAGTTATAATTATTGAGAATAACCCCCTGGCAGTGACATCATCAGCCTTCCACAGGCTGTAAGTTAAGTAGTAGGATTTCAGCCACCATGAGACATTTGTGCTAGCAGAGCAAATGAAAACTGGATGTGTGCACATGTATGCCTTCATGTTCTCAGTACTGTGAGGACTGTGTGCTCTTCTTTCCAAAGCTGGCCCTACTACAAGATGGAGAGAGGTATAGTAGCTGCCTTAGGCACAAGATCTAGGGAGTAGCAGCATGGAGGTGGGAGGAAGGCAGAGCTATGTATGCCTTGTGTCATCTCCCTAGACTTGTTAAGCTAGCCTCTTGCCTGGAGGTACAATACAGAGCACTGTCCCATCATCAGTGTAGACGTGCCAGTCCAGCTGGCTCTTCCACATGGAATGGGGTGGGTGGGTGTCTGTCTTATCCTTTTTGCCTCAGGCAACTTTTTTTCATCCAGTGTTGGCAGCAACTGCTACATTGCACGTCTTCTTGGACTGTGTTTTTTAAAAAATGAAATGTTGAAAAACGATCTCGTTTTCTTTTGTGTTAAGAGCAGCATCCTCGCTGCTCTTGCTCAATCAGTGGCAGCATGCACAGAAAAACTGAAGGAGAAAAGCACAGGATTTTGAAAAGATCCTAAAATAAAGTTTTGTCTAACATTTTGTGGACACCTCAATTCTCCCTACTGGAGCTATACAGAAAGTTTTGGTTGAAAAGAAGTGGAAAGTAATTTTCATACCATTTTTATTTTGGAAGGGAGACATCTGAGATTGATTCTCCAACTGTAGCTATATACTATATGATGACATGGCTTAACAGTATTAGGAATGTTTTGGGAAGAGGAGGGACTTTTTCATCCCAGCAGGCTCTGGGGATCTTTTAGAGCTTAGGAGAAGCTTGACAGGCACAGGATATGAACTCTAACAGTGATTGCAGACGTTCATAACCTTTCAAGCAGCATATTCATTAAACATATCAAGCTGAGCACAATTCCAGAGAGTGCCTGCTGCTTTTGACATACAGCTGCAACAGCAAACTGTACGTGAATTTCATGATCTCAGAGTGGTTTTGGGAACCGTGTAATGCACCCATGTGAATTAATGGCTCAGCTGCTAAATGATTAACATACCAGAGAAAGAGATGGATGGTATTCTTCCTCTCAAATCTTTGGAACTCTGTTAGGAACATCTCTGTTGGCTCTGTCGATGGGATTACCATCTTACTGCCACCCTTCTCCAGACTGTCTTCCACCATCCCTTATAAGATCCTTAATACTTACTGGGCTGTTAATCAAATAATACTTTGGCCATAAAATGAACACAGGGAATACAGATGAAGTCTATCGGCCAGATTCCTCGTGCACAGATGTTCTGTTTAGATTTTAGTTTCCTTCAGAAAATGCTTTGATATATTCAGGATAGTGAAAACAATCCATCTGGGTGTGAGGTTCATGGTTTCAAGGTGAGGACTGCAGCCAAATGGTGGTGATGGTGGAGGTGGAGAAGGACATCTTGGGAGACTGAAATATTTATAAATTGCATATGTTTACAAAGGTCTCACATTTGAGCAAGGTTTGCAAATTGTTTCCTAATGTTTTGTGCCTAAACATTGAAGATTTGATGCAGGCCATTATTGTCTTGAGGAAGTAGGGGGAAGGTAGAGTGGAAAGAAGTGACAATGAAAGGAAAACAGAGTGAGTAGTTGTGGGGACAAAGCTGAGCAAAAGTAGGATGTCTTAGCTGAAGTTACTATGTGGCATCGGTCCACATCTTTCCCATGACAGCGTAGAAACAGACTGCGTACAAAGGCAACTTTCTGTTTGAGTTGTGCTTATAATATTGTACAACTATAAGGCAAGTTAAACGCAACAAAATATTGAATATTTCACTTCAGTTTACATGTAGGAAGTTTAGAAGCAATTATTTGCTGAGTTGTGTGATGCCTAAGTAATAATCCCCTGGCTACTCTTCCACATAGGTTGACTGTTAAGCTTAGAAAGTAGACATATTGAGGGGCTAAGTGGGCGTAGTCACCACAGGTGCCAGAGTCTTGGGGCAGGATGGACTTCTCAAAGCTGGGCATTCAGGAAGGAGCTGTATTGTGTACATAGTAGAATTAGCCCCTGCCAATGTCACAGGTACAGATGGCCACTTCCTATTCCTTCTTGCTTAGGGTGCTGGCTCTGCTGCTTTGTTGCGACTGCATCACCCGCCTCATTCTTGGGTAGACAGAGGGTAGGTGGTGCTGCTGCCAGGTATTCCTTTCTGAGTGTCCAGGGAGTGCCATCACCTCCCCACGAACATGTGGAGGGTAGTATTGCCATGGCAGAACGTGGGAGGTAATGCTTTGTTTCCCACCTTGGGCAGTGAGAGAGCTTGAGCCACCCCCTTGAACACACTGAGTTTCTTGAACAAAACATAAAATGGAGACATAAAAAATGTATATATTTATTAGGGGCCAAAAAGCTATAGATAGTTCTTATATACACTGAAGATAATGGATTTTATTACCATTTTTGTTGTCATTTGAATAAAACATGCATGTGATTGGTGGGATCCTGGTAGCTGTAGTGGGAAAAAAGTTACATTTCCAAACTCTAGTATCCAAATAGTGCTGGAAGGCAGGGATTTTGTGGGATATTATCTATGTAATATTATATGAGCTTGTGCTTCAGCTAGGACTTGACAATCAAGAAATCATCCCCAATTGACTGGCCTGATTATACATAAAGCTGTTTCATTAAGTCTTTCATTTTTAGACTTTGGAATTGCTGCTGATTTCTGTTGAAGACAGAATCTGGAATAAAATATGGGGCTTTGTTCAGGTGGGCTCTCTCCTGAACTGGAATGCGTTGAAAACCTTGATACTAACTGTGGATCCTAGCTTTGGATGACTCACAGTACCATGTGTATGTGCAATTTTTACACTTTAAAAACCTGGGAACTAAGGAAAATTAATGTGTGGGAGTGGGGGAGTCAGCTAAAAATTATTGGATCAGATGGATTTTTCAGAAGAAACAGCTGGCCTGTAACCAAGATACACAGAAATCAAGGATGAATACTAGGGATGGATTTTGCACACCTTTGCTAGAATTATAATGGGTTATATTTATCACTAAAAGTTATGACCACATTTTATTTGATGATCATTTTACTTTGATCATCTTTCTTGTGCCTGCATTTTCCCCTTGGCCTTACCCAATTTCATTTCCATGCCCTAGATATTGATGAGTGTTCCACTGGAAAAGCTGTTTGTTCTTTCAACCGCAGATGTGTGAACACATTTGGAAGTTATTATTGCAGATGTCAAGTTGGATATGAGCTGAAACATATAAATGGACGATATGACTGTGTAGGTAAGACTTAGATTCTGGTTCTGCTTGTACAATGGAACTAGAAACAAAGATTTTTATTCAAAGAGGCGCTTTGAATTTGGAAGCTAAATCCTGTAGCCTGAACCCCAATGGTAAGTTACAGTGAGATGAAATTCACTGATTCACAGGGATTTACTGAGTGTTTTCAGCATTCAGCAGTTAATTGGACAGGTCTCTTCCAGTTGGGAGTAGCAACTGGATTTAGGCCTCTGTTTTATGTTGCAGCTTAAATCTGAAAGACTTTGTCATGCTCCTTACCCAGTCTTCAGCCATAGTATTTACCATGACACTGCCTGACAACTAATCTTCTCTGAGAAGTCCTTTGTCTCGGCATGACAAGCAAAAGATAAACAGCTGCATTTTTTCCTACATAATGAGGAACTGGGATGTTTTGTGTGTTGTTGTTGTTTTCAGTCTGTGACTTTGTTTCCCCCCTACAAATGTCTTTCTATAGATATAAATGAATGTATGGCGAATATAGCCAAGTGTAATTCCCATGCAGAATGCCTCAATACCCAGGGGTCCTTCAAGTGCAAATGTAAACCAGGCTACCGAGGCAGTGGATTTGAATGTTCTGGTAAGCATCCCAAGAGAAGTATCATTCTTTCATTTAATCTCCTTCTTCAAATGGTGGTAAAGTCGAGCATTTCCACATTATGTTTTGCGAGGAAAGAAAGTATATACCTGATTTCACCTTGGAAGGTCTGAGCTGGTTTGCACAGAACACTAAACCAGGAGTGGGGAAAGCACAGTCTTGTAGATGCTGCTGGACTGCAACCATCCAGTATTTCTCACCATTGGCTGTACGGGCTAGGGTTGAGGGGGACTGCAATCCAGCAACATTTAAAGAGCCCCATAGTGTCCATGCCTGCACCAAATCAAGGTTTAACCCAGGACAGAGAATTCTTTTTGAGGGTAATTCCTCCCCCATAGTCCTCTGGAGGCAGGATGGTATTGGGGCAGGGCCACATTCTTGATGCCAAGGGGTCAGATTCACTAACATCTCTACTTCTCTACCAACTCAGTCAGGAACCTATCATGTGGTCATCTCATTTGGTTAACTCGACATCAATCTAACTTAAGATGCCTTTGTTTTCCATGAACTTGTATGTATGCTTGTTAAATAACAGACTTCTAAGAAATACTAGTTTTCTGACTTAATTATTTTCAAATACAGGTTTCTTAACATGTATGAACTTTTTTGATAGCAAGTATTTTCCCCTTCATGGATTGCTGCCTTGTCATGGTGAAGGGGCCTGAGCAATTCAGAGAAGCTATGGGCTATGCTGTGCAGAGACACCCAAGATGAACAGGTCATAGTGGAGAGGTTTGGCCATCTCACGAGAAGAGAAGACTCCCTGGAAAAGATGTTGGGAAAGTGTGAAGGCAAGAGGAGAAGGGGACGACAGAGGATGAGATGGTTGGACAGTGTCATTGAAACAACCAACATGAATTTGAATAAATTCCGGGAGGCAGTGGAAGACAGGAGGGCCTGGCGTGCTCTGGTCCATGGGGTCACGAAGAGTCGGACACAACGACTAAACAACAAATGTAATATTTTTCCAGGAAACATCTACAGGTGGGGGGGAAGGCATCTACCATCTACTCAGCCCATGAGATTGGTGACAGAATAGAAGAAAGATGAACAGGAGGGCCTTCAAGGCACCTTCCTTCTCCCAAATTTTAAGTTAAAAGTTCTTCATGGACTGGGTTGGACAAACACAAGGCTTATGGGATTTACAAAAGGGGGTTCTTTTGTTTCTGTTTTTAATAGAGCCCCAAGATTCACTAACCTGAGCATAATGCAAAAGGCATGGACTTTGAATTAGAGAATTGATGAGTGCAATAATTTGCTTTCTTTACTGAATTAGCCACTATTCCTTCTACATAAAAATGTACTCAGAGATATTTTCAGGTTTATTTGTTTCTGTGCACAAATTTCTTCTGTTGTTGTTACCAATAAGTAAGTGGAATGTTTTTGAAAAAAAAATCCCTGCCAATCTATTGCAAATCTCCAAGAAATCTATCTTTAAAGTGTTGCCCACCTTTATCGTTTTGGCAAGTGCTAGCCAGAAGCTACAAACCCTTGATGCTGCCCCATTCCCCCTGCGGTGATCCACGTAATATACCAGTAGATAATTAACAACCAATTATTGTACAGGTACCTGATTAGTCCTGATGGATTAAGTGGTACGAGAAACATGAACAATTTAAAACATGCAGATGACACCATATTGCTGGCAGAAAGCAGCAATGAGTTTGAACTCTTTATGAAGGTAAACGAAGAAACTACACAAAAGCAAGACTTCAGCTGAATATCCATTCATCAATCCAAATGGAGACGGTCGTCAGAAATCAGAAGACTAAGAATCAGAAAACCAGCTATGAAGGAACCAGAAAAGATAATCTCGTGTAAGAATGTATCATTGCCAAGACCAAGATTATCCACACTGTTATATTCATAATTACTATGTATAGATGTGTAAACCAGACTTCGAAGAAAGCTGACAGATAATAATCAATTAGTATAAACAGCTCATGTGTTTTCAGTTGTGTCAACACATGTTTGTTGTTTAAATAGTCCAAGCTTTCAATGGCAATATCTTGTGCTGTTTTGTCAGAGGATGCTAGAGGAGAGCTTCACCATGGACTACCAAAAAGGCAATCTGGGTCCTAGATCATATCAAGTCTGCACAATCTCTAGAAGAAGAAAAATTAAGATGGTCATACTTTGAGTACATCATGAGAAGGCAAGATTTACTGGAAAAGGCAATAATGCTGGGAAAAGTTGGAAGCAGGAAAAGAGGAAGGCCAAATATGCAGTCAATGGATTTTATAAAGGAACTCCACCATGCCAAGTCTGTAAGACCTAAGGAGGATTCCTTATGATAGGACACTTTGGAGCCCACTCATTCATAGAGCTGCATAAATTGGAAGGGAAGTGATGGCACATGATTAGAAATATGAATTAGCATGACAGTATGTAAATATTTCCTGTATTCCCCCACCATTTCATATATTTATTCATCAGTTTAGGTCTAGTGACTTCCTGTTATGTTGAACTACTAGACTCGGGAGCTGTAGTCTAAAGCATAAATCTTCTCAAAGTCCTTCTAGAATCCAAGATAAAAATAATTTATGGCAGTGGTGGTAAGGATTGGGCAGGAAGCATGCTGATCACCATTTATTGAATTGAGAGATGTCAAGTGTTGTCTGTACCTGGCTAAGGAAACTGGAATGTGTGGACTAGCAGGTATCAGATGTACTGGATGAATGCCTCCAGCCCTTCCCTCCTGATCCAATACCAAGCCAATGCCCTTTTCAATATTCAAAGCCAAAACAACAATGCTGAGCAATAAGAATATTTAGTTTCCACAGACAGATTTCAAAGCAGGAACTGCAAGCAGATGTACTCATCTGCTGATTAGTCATCTTTGGCTTGAAAAATATCTACAGACTCTTTATTAAAACACTGGGGGGTTTGTTTTCATTATTGTTCAGAGGAAATTTGTCGGGAATTGGGGTTTCCTGTTTATCTTCCCCAACCGTACCCTGAATAAATAGATTTAGTGAACCAGATCAGCTAAACCATGGCACATCCTTTATAAACACTACTCTCCAGAGAACAGGATCAGCAAGTAGCTGAGCAACAAAGCCTTGATGTGTAGATATATCTGGGCAAAATGAAGCTGGAAATGCTATCTGTAGGAAAGACAGAAAGTGCCATTCTCTCTTATTTGTGTGGTTTTCAACTTCCTAAAAAAGAAAAGGGAAAGGGGAAAAAATGTTGCTTAATCCTGATAAAATTAATTGCAATTTCACTGTGTTCTCAGTTCATCTTAAAAGTTCTGGCATGTGCTCCTTGAGACCCATATAGGATTGCAGCCTTAATATCTTAATAAGAGAAAGTGTAGAATCAACCATGTTTTGATGGTTTGTCTTCTTCTGGAAGCCTATACTGTACTTAGTTATGAATAACTAATGCAAAAGCCTAAAGAAGGTGAATTTTATGAATTCTGATCAGAGATAGGATACATCCTCCTCCTCCTTCATGTTATTATTCTTGTACTGCAATTCCCAGAATCCCATAGCCAACATTGTTGTTGGCTATACTGACTGAATCGGGGGCTAGTAGTCCAAAAGCAATTCTTTTCCATATCTGATTCTGGTATGAGAGGACCTGATTAATACCTCCTGAACTAATGAAATGTAGTTTCTCACTAGATTTTACTCTTCTCTGAATGTGATTGTGAGACAGTTTTTTTGCTAAAAAATGTCTTACAATGCATATTTTGAGGTAAAAATGTGGGTAGAAAGATTATTAAAATACAGTACATATTTAAATAGATAACAACCTATTTACTTTTAAAGAAGAAATAAAATTCACTTACAACTAATCAGTGACATGGATCAAAAGGAGACTGATTTCCTTATCGTAGTAGCTAAGAAATGTTCCTAAAACTCGCCTCTGTCTTTTAAGGGACACAAATGGAAGTTGCTGTGCACAGAGGACCCTGTGTAGGCTACAGTTTATGAAAGTTTATACCAAATAAAATTTGTGTGTGTGTGTGTTTGTGTATGCGCCTGCACGTGTGTGTACACACACACACACACACACACACACACACTCACAGAGTGAGAGTAAGATGCCACAAGATTTTTAGTTGCTTTGGCTGTTATCTGCTTGGACAGCAGCTGTTCCTTTTCCTCAATATTGAATAGCAATCCAGTAAGTAATTGATGAGGAATGGTATCTGCTGGGATTGATACCCCTTTGTTGTTATCTATTTCTGTGGTTTGTTCGGGCCTTTACAGTGCACAACAGATGGCAGACCACAGTTCAGTTTGAGGGCTGGTGTTCAACTTAAAGCTGCTATGTTGGTGCAGGCCAGTAGGTCTCAGACAAGAATAGGAAAATGCTGTGTATTGACAATAGAGGGGGCAAAACCATTCATTATTTCATATATCTTCAGCTCTGTGCATTAGCTTGACTCTGCATGGAGCAGGGATGGGAAAGTGTGGTCCTGCAGATGGCATTACACTGCTGCTCCCAGCAGGCCCAGCCACCAAAATCCCTGGTGAGGCATTGTGAGAGTTGTAGTCCAACAACATCTGGAGAGCCAAATGTTTCCCTTTTTGATTCAGACATGGCTTTATATATAATAGAAATGATTTCAAATCTCCTGTGTCTTCAGATATGCTGCTAATTTCCTTTCCATCATACTGAAAAGCACGTTGACTTTTTAAAAGTAAGATAAATTATACTTATTTTGTGCTCCTTCTCATCCTTCTCCCCAGTTATTCATGAAAATTCAGTCAAAGAGATTCCAAGAATATCTGGCATTGCCAAAGAGAAGCTCAAGAAACTGCTTATACAAAAGAACAGTGTAAAAAAGCATGAAGATATTAAAAATGTGATCCCTGAACGGCCTATGACCCCACTTTCTAAAACTCAAGTAAAGCCATTAGGCTATGAAGATGGTGTGTACACAGAGGGGGCCTATGTTGAGCATGGGAAACGCACGGGAGGTGCTGGAAGAGGTGGAGAAACAGAAGAGAAAGAAGATGTGGAGGGAGAAAGGGACAGCTCTGAAAATCAAGCTGGCCACGAGAAGAAACTCCGAGGAGATGTATTCTGTAAGTTTCACCTTTATTTTATTTCCTATACGTAACATTACATAGAGTTTTGGAAAGCATTTATTCTTTCCAAGTTTCATACTTTAATAGCAAGGGCTAGTATCTGGTTGCACAATCAGTTGTGTGACAAACACGTCGCCAAATAGCCTACCCACACATGGAATCCCAGAACTGGACACTGGCCAGCTGTTTTGTGGTATCTGCTACATGAATGTGCCTGAAAGGGACAGAAATATTAATATAAACATAAACAAAAGTAAAGGAATACAAGCAATAATTAGCATTTACTTATGGAATGTTTCACATAACATTGGCCAGAATCCTACTGGAGTTTGTGTAAGGTCCACCAAACTTGCGGCATTCATTGCAGCTAACTGACCATGTGCAGGGGCATGTCCCGATATCCAGTCGTTCTCTTGCTAGCCGATGTGACAGAGGCGGGTTCATCTTCCCTTTGGGCTTTTCCTTCTCCAGTCATGAGAAGCCCTGCCAGGTGCTCGTCCGCAGGGGAGGGACCATCACACGTCTTGGCTGCCTCCTTCCTGCCTTAAGCAATTGCTTGTACCAGCCAACCCACTTGCCTATGGCTGTCAAGCCAAATAAGAGTTCATGTGGTGTGATCTTGCCAGGAAGTGATGCTCCGTGCCCCCCCTTGCTCGCTTTCCCCCTACATTTTCGTTGCAAAAATTGTAGGGGGGAAACAGCTTTTTGCAACAAAAATGGATTGCTTTGATCCCTGCCTTCTCCTTCCACTTTCTTGCAATGAAATAAATTTTGGGTTAAAAAAGTGTGGGTATCTTATACATAGGGGTATCTTATACACTGAAAAAATATGGTATATACTGCAAGTATGTTTAATATCGGCAATCCTACTCACTGAGGTGTTCTGAAAAAATGCCAGAGTGTGGTGTTGTTCCTACCACTACCAATGAAAATGCGTTATATAGTTGTCTTTTGACGAAAGAAATAATGGGCTAACACTGAATTATCGTAGGTGAGGATGATAATGTATGAGATGAAGTGACTAGGTGGTGAACATCTTGCCTGGAGCCACCCCAGCTTAGCATGCTATATACCCCAGTGCCTACATGTTTTTCTTTCTCTCATGGATAGAAACTTTATACTTCTGGATTCAGGACCTGAGCCTGCAAAATCATAGTGTAGTCTGTCTTCAAAGCAGAAGTATACATGCATTTTTCTCTTGGGCACCTTCTGATTTTGTGGAAACATAATCACCTAGGCTGTGATCATAAAAAAAGCTTCACTTGAAGCACATTCTTACTATAATTTACATCCTAAGATGACACACAGTCATTTTATTGATGCATTTAGGCTTTGAATCTTGTTTAGCAAAATCCGTGCTTGTGATGCCTGGCCTGTTTTTCCCCTTTGTCCGTGTTAATTATATTTCTTTCTCATGGAAATATTCAGATAGTCACATCCTTATAGCAAAGTATGGTCTGGACAAATGAGATAGATTGAATTATGGTTTTCTGAATCCTCCTAGCACATTTAGTGCTTTGGAGTAAAGCTAGGTTAAACAAATGGACAAAAATATTAGAGCGTATCTCTCCTTTTAATATATGGGTTTACCTTTTCATGTTGATAGGACCTTAAACTCAGGATAAATTGTATTCCTTGCTTGATCATTAATAATAGTTCAGTAATTAAAATATGTTTTGATGTTGACATATGTCAGACCAAGTGTGGGGGCTCAAGAACATTTATTATTGACTGAATTATTCTCTAGTACATCAGAAAATTCCCCAGGAAGATCAGAAGCATCAGATTGTGGACCTTGGGGATGTCATGCTAATGTATGGCTTAGCAATTACATGCACAAAATTGAAGCAGAACTGAAAAAATTTACATCTTGGTCTAACAACTCCCAGAAACTGCCAGCCAGCATAGTCACAGCTAGAGTATGTTGCCATTTGTAGTCCTATTCTCCCCCCCCCCGCGCCCAAGGACTAGTCAAACGTTCATATTCCCCATCTCCCTTTATGAGCCTGCCTGGGCATTCAAATTCTCAAGAGACGACGTTCTCTTGATCCCACCACTTTCACAAGTGTGTTTGGTTGGGACATTGGAGAAAGCCTTCTTTGTTGTTGCTCCTAGGCTTTGGAACTCCCTCCCACAAGAGGCCAGGCTGGGCCCATCTTTGCTCCCTTTATGAGCCTGCCTGGGCATTCAAGAGAACAGAGCGGCTGTTCTCTTGATCCCACCACTTTCACAATTGTGTTTGGTTAGGACATTGGAGAAAGCCTTCCTTGTTGTTGCTCCTAGACTTTGGAACTCCCTCCCACAAGAGGCCAGGCTGGGCCCATCTTTGCTGTGTTTCTACAAGCAGGTGAAGACTTTCCTCTTCACGCAAAACATTTCCTTAATTGACTAGCTGTCTGAATGGGGTTTTTTAATGGATGGTTGTGTCTTACTGCTTTTAATATGTTTTTGATGTTTCTTGTGTTTACTGTTTTTTTTAGTGTGCCATTTGTTTGATCCTTTTAAGTATTTGTATACTTACTGATTTTTAGCTTTAAATATGGTATTTTAATGATATAAGCCACCTTGGGAAACCTTCCCAGGAATGCTGCAAACATTACATTCCACTTTATTTGAACAAAGAGAGTCTAGGAGGTAATGAAGTGAACTAAAGAACAATACTTCAAGTGACATCCCCACCAAAGCAAGATAAGAATGTACAGTATAACAGAGAGAGAAACTGCAGTTTCATGTCTACAAGTATCTTCTCAAATCTTGTAGAGGGATCACAATATCTTTGGATGCAACAGAACACTCTTTCAGAGTGGAAACGAGAATTCTTAATGTTGATGGTGGAGGAACATGTTTGGAGATTCTTAGTTGTTTATCATGCACTTGGAAGGGCCAGATACTTTGGCACATATGGTGACATTTTCCAGCTTGACAAATTATGGGCCAGGAGTTTGGTGTAAGCCTGCAGTGTGTATTCCTTTCTCTAGGGGCTTTCACACTGCTTATTTGGCTTCAGTACTGGTAATACAAGAGATGTTGGATATTCTAAATCCCTAGAGCTAGGAAGTGAAAAGAAC